CCTGTGAGGCACGTGATTTATACTATGAAAACTGTGGTAAGGCTTCTGTGGAGGCTAGACATGATAGCAAGATCCTAAAAAGTCGGCCCATCTTGGTTGCAGCATCAGTGGGAAGCTATGGTGCTTATTTGGCTGATGGTTCTGAGTATAGGTAATACAAAGCCACCTCCCCTCCCCCCCCCCCCCCCCCCCTCTTTCTTTTTCATGTAGTAGTACTATTCTATTCTTATCTGTTTTTGAATTTCTCGTCCCCGTGCATTCTAGAAGTACCTGTAGATGTGAAATGTCACCACTAATCAGTCAAATATCTTACTCCTGGTTTCAAAGACATTGCTTTACTGTATTTTGACCATTGATCAGTTATATGATTTATAATATTATTACAATACTTACCTCATCTACTTGTTGTAAAGCTAACTTCTATTATTCAGAATGATTGATGTGTAATACTTGCTATGTTCATTTTCCAATCCCTAACTATTACATACTATTACCTTTCTTACTCTGCTTGCATGGTAATTGGTCAATTAGGACTAGATTTGGGGGATGCATATAGTGCTAACCTGTTCTCTAGCATGATTTGGTAATGCTGCTCTATGCATATTTATGTTTCATTGGTGATAGAAATGGACGTAATTATAACTTGCTTCCCACTAATAGTGTCAATATTGTGAGTACTTGTACCTAATGATTATTTCTCATGTCATAAGCACTTGTAATATTAGTATACATATAGTGGATGGAAATTGGTGGGAAAGTGATGAAGGAGTCTATCAATTTTTTTTTAATATGGCTTATGTTCTTGAATATTGTGTGGGGAAGTGAAAGCTACAGGTGTAGTAGTCAGAATGTCAGACTGATGCGTCTTTAGATATATTTAGTTAGAGACTTAGAGTCTCGTATTCTATATGGTAGTGGCATGAATGGATAAGCTATTATCTTGGTACTGCCTTTCTCCCCTGTTCATCTGTTCTGTTTCAGTGGTTCAATGATTTCTTTTACGCCTTCACTGATACCTCATTGTAGTAAGGGGATAAATATTTTTCTGTGCTGTCAGATACACTACTAATCACAATCTTCTCCAATGTGCTGACAATAATGACCTACTGGCTTATCTTATCCTTTTTATTTTTTTGATATTTTTCATCGTTTACATAAGTTCAGATCATGTTAAGTAAATTTGTCTCTTCCTATGGAATTCTTTTGACAGTGGAAACTATGGTACTACTGTGACACTGGATTTCTTAAAAGATTTTCATCGGAGAAGAGTTCAGGTTTTAGCTGAAGCAGGTGCTGACCTAATTGCATTTGAAACAATTCCAAATAAAGTCGAAGCACAGGTATGTTGGAGCTGTGAAATATTATCTGCTAAAACTGTTAGGATACAAATTTTGATCCTGAGGTTTCTGAATTAAAATGTCTGTTCATCTTGATTTTTCTACTTTACATTTTGATATAATTCATTAATTGCTGGATGCCAATTTATGCAAAATTCAATTAATCTATGCTACTATTGCAGCTCTAGGGCTCCATAGTATGCATATTCTGTCTAGTTGAACTTTATGGGGGGGCATCAGATTTGGTTAAAGGCACTTACAATAGTTGTGTATTGTCACTCTAAAATGACCTTTACCTTGGCTGTTATGTCCTATGTCCAGGCTTATTCTGAACTTCTTGATGAGGAAAATATAAAGATTCCAGCATGGTTTACTTTTAGCTCAAAAGATGGTGTGAATGTGGTCAGTGGTGATTCCTTGCCTGAGTGTGCATCAATTGCTGAGGCTAGCAAGAAGGTTGTTGCAATTGGGATTAATTGTACTCCTCCCAGGTTTATTGAAGGACTGATTTTGTCAATTAAAAAGGTGACATTAGAGTAGGTTTTCATCTGTTTTGTTCTTATATAGTTATATGGAGGAAATTTAGAATTTTTCTTGTTTTCCAAACTCTATTGGCTCATAAGGATATCATTAAAATTTCTCCCAAAAAAAAAGGAAAAAAAACCCTGATATTGTCTCTGTTTCCTGCTATAGTGTTTTATGTGTACTCAAGTAGCAATCTGGCACTGAAATTCTTATAGCATATCTGGATGGTTATTTCAGGTGGCAACAAAACCAATTATTATATACCCAAACAGTGGTGAAACCTATGATCCAATTATAAAGGAGTGGGTGGTAAGTTTTCTTTTCAGTTTTGTTCACCAAATGGTTATTATTATGATGTTTTACTCTGCACGGGGATCTATTATTGGATATATATGTCACACAACATTAGTGAAATGATCTTTCATAGGCAATGAGTTATGGACTTATGACCTGAAGACTATTCCATGCAACACTGGATAGTATCTACCAGAAGGATGTTATTTTGTCTTGTGCTTTCCTTTTAAGGCACTAAGAAAATTATGAATTGTGGAGCAGGATGCTAACTAGTTTAGTTGGTCAAAGCTTTGATGGGTGGTACCTACGGCCTTGGGATCAAATCTTGCTATATCATCTGCCCTTTGCAGGTCTCTCTAGTCTCTACACCAAACAATTAAAAACAGAACATGATAAACTTGAATTAGGGAAGTTCTAGGCTTCCTGGCGATCAGTCGTATCAGGAAAAGATTTTCCCCTTACATAACCCATAGGTTATACCTATCTATTGCAAACACCACTTGTAAGACAAGACTGAGTTAAGGAAGTCTCCTAAGCTCTCAAACAAACTCTTAAAGTTCCCTACGCATTGGCTATACTGCATCCACATGTTGTAGATCCCATTTAGAATGTTGTGAGACTTTCCAAGGTTCCAACATCTGCACTGAGGCCTGAAAGTAGCCTTGAGAGATTATTTGATGGTCCCTTCATTTCGGTTTGCCATGAGATTTAAGCTGTTTTTCTCTCCTTGGCGCATTATATGAGCATTAAAAAGTTATAATAGGAATTGGAGGGAAATCTTCTGTGCTATTACTCTATAAGTCAAACCATTGAGAATTTTTTCAGGGTTAGAAATGATGGGAGATCTTCTGGGATCATCTGGTGCTTGTTTGACACCCTATCCGTACTCTTATTACCCCTGAATTGAAAGATCATTCTATCGTTGGGAATTTTTAATGGATACATCAACTGAAAATACAAGAACATTAGAACTCATGATGTCGTTTGAATGGCCACTTGATTGTATTTTGTATAGATGCCAGATTTAAGATTTATTGCCTCGTTCACATGCTCTAAGTAATGTTCTAATTCTTCTAAACACTCATTCTGGCTAAACATTAATCAGAGTGAAACTTACCAGGTTTTTTTTATTAATAATATTAATAGTCTCCTAGGTTGCCTACTTATGTGTCAATCTATGAAATGGGACCTGAAAAGATCCTCAGCCTTCCTGTAATTTTTTTCTCAAACACCACTAAATGTTATCAGAAAAGCTGGAAAAAAAAAATCCTTTGGCTATGGAGCAGTCTTTTGAGGGTCTCTTTAGTTCCTTATACAATCTGCTTCAGTGGCTGCCAACTCTGTGGATTAAGCACTCTTTTACACTACTAGAGAGTAGGGAGTGATATGGGAGTGCAAAAGCTCAAATCTGGTTTTACAATTATTAATCTCTGATTGGAACTTTGGGTCATTGATATTTAAGATCTTTATATAGTTTTGTATTGTGGGGGTGAAAAGTTGAGACTTACTTTACCGTGCTTTTTAAATGGCACTGCAGAACGTCTTTCTTTTGATGCAAATTCAAGAATAATTGAACTGGTGGTTCGTTTGGAGTAAAATTATAGTTGTTCTAAACTGATTTTTTAGCCTAGGTCGAGGCAGAGTTGTTATGTTGTGCTTGTTCAGAGAAATTTGTTTCTTCTGTATGTGAAAAATTTCTGTCTACTGCTATTATGTACTCCGTAATTATCTTCATATTTCGGTCGTATTGGTGACTTCTGTCATAATGTCAAGACTTGAGAGTAGCACCACCAGAATAGCTTAGCTTATGTTGCCAGAATGCATGGTAAACTTTTCAACGTACAAGTATCTCATATTTTGTAGAAATGGCTGGGTTTTCAGTATTATGTCAAGGTATTCACCTTTGCCCATTTCTCTGTCACTAATGTGTAGCTGTTGTTATATGTTTGATTTGTAAATTCATGCCTCTGACTACTCGGTGCATATCTTGCAGCAAAATACAGGGGTTCTAGATGAAGATTTTGTTTCTTATGTGAAACATTGGCAGAAGGCAGGGGCTTCTCTATTTGGCGGTTGCTGTAGAACTACTCCAAAGACAATAAGGGGAATTTACAGGACTCTTTCAGAGCAATCCGTGCCCTCCATGTTAACAAATAACTGACGCTTTTGAGTAGTAAATGATTAACCCGGAAGTATGATCAATATGCCTGTTTACTATTGCCTTCACTGTTTCATGAGTTTTGAGGATTTCCTTCTTGACTAAGCTTGTTTACTGAAGGCCCCTCTACATTTTATGTAATCTGTATATAAAGCATGGGGATATTTGCACAAAGACGAGCTTTGCATACAAAAATTATGTACTTGAATTATATAGGAAGCTTTTATCTCGAAGTTACTCTCTTATAGTAGATTCATAATTTTTACAATTAATATGTAACATGGAAATTTAAAATGATCCTCTTAACTCATGATTGTTGATGAAAGATGTTAATTTTGATGCATCATTTATTTCCCAACAAAGTGACTTGGTCTATGTTAAGCACTTTTATGGAGAAGAATGTAGCTGTGGCTTATACACTTCGTACTTTCAGACCAAAATGAGAGATAAAAATACCATTTGGCCAGAGGTTCTACCTAAGCTATACTTATCGCCAATCGTGAACCGGTCTAGGATCATTATGTTTTGTGGCAAGATTAACATACCCTAGCTGGGGCAGGGTTCACAATCCTGGCTGCTTGGGGTGGGATTGCTTTTGGGCCTTTGGCTTACACGATATCTTAACTTCTGACAAAAACCTAATGAAAACTAATCGGTGGCTTCATGCATGGTCACAAGTTTCAAACTATAGTAATTTTTTGCAGATTAATCTTATTAAATCAGCATCAGTACAATTTACAAACTACGAAAAGTATTACACAAGGCAAATTTGGAATACGAAAGGATAATAAAATCACACATGATTCATTTATTACAGATCTGCAAGCCATTACACAGGTGGGACATTATTTAGGAACTACTAAAACAGAACCTGCAAAACACATTCTATGCAATCGAGAACTCAAACAGCATGCTGTGCTGATATTTTTTACCAGGTTCAACAACAACAGAAGGGAAATTTGGTTGGTTAATGGCGTTCGGAAATCCTTGTGTCTCGAGACAAAGTCCAGCATGTTTGTTGTAAACAGCTCCACCTTTCCCACTGACTCCATTCACATAGTTAGCAGTGTAGAATTGCATGCCAGGGGCACTAGTCCAGAGGTCAAGGACCCTTTTGCTCAAAGGTTCCCTGACTTTAGCAGCGTGTTTTAATCCTGTCTTTTCATCCCCACAGTCAAGCACATAATTGTGATCATAGCCCATGCCAACTTTATCAATATCCTGACCGATCCTCTTCTCTGAAGTGAAATCGAATGGTGTGCCTTTAACTGGAACAATTTCTCCGGTTGGGACTGTGTTCTCGTCAACTGGGGTATAGTGATTTGCCCATATTTGAATATGATGGTCAAGCACAGGGCCTGAATTGTGCCCTGCTAGATTCCAATATGTATGTTGAGCAAGATTGACCGGAGTCGCCTTGTTCTCAGCCAAAGCTTCCATGTCTAGCCTCATGGTTGTCTTGGAAGTAAGAGTATATGTCGCAGTCACAGAAAGATCACCAGGATAACCTGTTTAATTTCATGAAGAACATTTCTTAGGGCTTTGTTTGGAAAAAGAATAGATTCAGCATCACTTTATTTTACAAATAATGATAGCGTTAGCAGATTCTTTCAAAAAGTATTTTATATATTATTCAGGCTTACAGAAACACGATAAGGAATTACAAAAAGAAAATTGAAAATAAAATTATGCTAAGTGATACCTTCCAAACACTTAATATACGGAGTAATATATAAACTAGGTTGTAAACTCTGGAAACACACACTAAAAAATTCAGTAGTCAGCAGAAGGGGGAGGAGACAATAGAGAGCATACCTTCCTCGCCATCACGACTGTGATACTTAAAGGTAATGGAGAGAGTGTCGTTTTTCTTGTATGCAACTACATCCCATATTTGCTTGTCAAATCCCTTAAGGCCACCTAAATAAAAAGATTGAAAATTATAAGTTAACACATAAGGAAATCAGGTTAGCATACCAGGAATGCAGTAGGTTCCAGCTATCTGTACCGATAAAAGGAGCATAATTTGATAGATTCAGGTGGAGTAAAATACCAATTAGTTCAAACAAGTTAAGGGCTAATAAGGGATACCTAAATTCAAATCACAATTGCAAGAAGTCAATATGTACTATTTTATAAAGAGAATTTAAAAATTAAAAACCAAGAGAAGTGAGTCTCACTAGACAAGTTATAAACTAAGGAAAGCAACGAATAATATCATCTCATCTGTCAAGTGTTGCAGAAATATGTATACAGAAATAACACAAGCTTATGAATCTCAGAAGCTAAAGTTATCTTACCATGGAGACTATTTGGGGGGTTGTTCACAGGCAAAGAGCACTCAACTCCATTTAGTGTAAACTTTCCATTCTTAATTCGATTTGCAACACGACCGACAATGCAACCATAATATGATCCAGCTCCTTGCTGAGTTACAAAAATTAGACAATAGTTAACGACAGAAACATCGAAGATCTTAGATCATTACTTGTTGCAAAGAAAACTAACAGCTCAAATATAAGAAATTCAACTGGAAGAACAACTGATGTTGCATTCAGCCTCAAAGGCAAATACGAGTATGTTCGTTTCAGGATTCAAACTTGGGATTGGATTTACAATTGAGTTTGGTTGACAACAATAAAAGTCTCACTTACTGAATTACCTAAGTGTATCATCATAACAACATTACAACCTTTAACATTTTCCAGAATTGATTAAACCCCATTCATAAACCTTTTAATTCCACAATGTTGATGAATTTAACCAACAAGCTCATGCCATAAAAAATTAATTTCATAAATCAATAGATAAGTTGCGAAACAGAAGTCATTCATCAATAAATTACATAAATGAAAATAAAATTATAAATCAAATAAATTATTCAATTCAAAATCCTGGAAAGAAAGAGATGAATTACCAGGTAAGGGTCGACAGAGTCAAATCCCAATACAACATCCGCAAGTTTACCTTCACAAAAATTAGACAAATCCCATCAATAATTATACATGCATTGATAAAACCCAGAAAAGAAATTAAGTAAAAAACTTGAATTAGATGAAAAGATTAAAAATTTATGATCAAAGTGTAAAAATTTATTGAAAATTAATGTACCATCTTTGTCAGGGATTGATAAAGAAGTGATTGTGCAGCCATAATTTGAGATTTTGACATGCATTGAGCCATTGTCGAGTTCAAAGATCTCAGCCTGCTTTCCTTGATCTGCCATTAGAAAGAGAGAGGAGAATTCAACTGTAGATGTTTATCTTTTTATTTGTGAGGATTACTAACATTATCAATTTTATGATTTTATTTTAGCTTATATATATGCTCTTAGATTAATGGATATGGATTAAAATTTTGATATGGATCATATAAATGTAAATTGTGATGACATAATTGATTTTTGTTGGAAAATTATTGACTTATCTCTATTAGTTTAAACTAATTTGTTAGAGTTTGAAGGTTTTACGCTAGCTGTTTATACTAAGGTTTTACCTTGTTTGACAAATTGTTTGTATTGGTGTTTTGTGTAAAAGTGTTTTATAGTTAGTTGTTAATTACTTAATTGTGTAAAATGGCCAATAAGCAATAACTCAATAAGGATATAATCCACATTAATTGGAGTATAAGCATGAGCAAACACAGTAAAGGAATTAAATTTGATTAACTTTATAGGAGTTATTTCTCTCAACTACCACAAACTAAAGATGGCACTGGTCAGGTTGCCCCATCACGGGAAAAACCCTGGCACGATATGAATATGGTGTAGGCCTATCTCAGCACGTTATTGTGCGTACTGGGCTGTGGGCCTTTAATTGGGAGAAGAACGATAAGGCACAATCTGACCTGACATGACAAAACACACTAAAATTTATGAAATAGCTCGATACGATGGCACTAGGACCTAGGCTATGCATGTGCTAACCTTTTGAAAATTTCGACCCGAAACGTAGCTCATGGGCCAAACCTAACTACCTCCAAAGCACGTGGGCTTAACATGAGGCAAGACCTAGAGTCATCTTTACTACAAATCCCATGTACATTTTATTAGTTTTTTCAAAATTAATGTTTTACTCAACACTCTATTTGAATTATCTCTCAACCAAACACTCACATTAGATTGATTAGAAGCTTGAGCTAATCATTACCTATTCTAGTATTCTTTGTGTAATTGCCTCAAACAACCAAACATTCCAATTCATCTAAATGAGATATTTGGCAACACAAAACTTTGACTACTATTACCCCATATTGACTGAACTTGAATCCTTGATACTCCGTAAGAAGAGCAGTTTTGAATTACACTACCTCGTATAATAACCCTCTCTAAGAGTACCCACAGCCATTAACTATTTGGGTGGTTATTAAGAGAGAGAAAATGAAAATATTAATAAAATATTGAGAAGAGAGAAATTATTGGGGTATCAATTGAATAACCAGGTTATTCAAATAACCGGTTATGTATATGGTCATGCAATTTTTTTTTTGCTTTTTGGTTGACATGGATGGCTAAGATTTTGACACGTAATACAAATATCAATGGTTGAGATTTGCTCTGAATTTATAACCGTTGTAATTTTTGTAACGGCCATAATTTTTAAAATACAATTCTGAAAAAAAAAAAAAAAATACACCAACGGCTCTATTTTATTTTTCTCTATAAAATGAGCCCAATATTGAAGTATTTTGAAACAACTTTTTTTTAAGTGAAAATTACTCTTCTTATTGGCAAATTGTGTTAAGATGAACATTCCAAAATCTAACAGAAAAAAAAAAATCCACAAAATCTCATAACTCATCACAGCCCCAAAATAATCCAAATCCTCAACCTTACTATTCTAATCTTCCAATTGATCTCAACTCAGATTTAGATACAAATTTTCAAAATTTTCCGAATTACGGTTCACAAAATCTCAATTTCTCAAATCCAAGTACTTTCACTCCGTTTCCTTTTCAACCACCACAAAATCCTAATTATTCAAATTCTCCAAATGTTATCCCATCTCTTGCAAGAGATTCACTTCAGCATTTTGTGGAAGGAATAGTCTCTTACTTTAGTGATGAATACCTTCGAAAGCCCAATGAAGAAGATCTAGTAAGACTACTAAGGAATGGTGAACGTCGTGGATTTCCTGGCATGTTAGGTTCTATTGATTGTATGCATTGGAGGTGGAAAAACTGTCCACTTCGATTAAAAGGTATGTTTTCTGGAAGACCAGGTAAACCCACATTAATCTTGGAAGCTGTGGCATCATATGATCTTTGGATCTGGCATGCCTTTTTTGGGACACCAGGTAGTCGTAATGATATTAATGTTCTTGATAGATCCCCATTGTTTAATGATGTTTTTGAAGGTTGTGCACCCTCTATTAACTATGTTGTGAATGGTCGCACATACAATATGGGATATTATCTCACTGATGGTATATATCCTAAATGGGCGGCATTCATTCCTACAATATCACTACCACAAAATGAAAAAGAAGGTCTATTTGCCAAAGTACAAGAAGCTAAACGAAAGGACGTTGAGCGTGCTTTTGGAGTATTACAAGCTCGTTTTGCAATAATACGGAATCCAGCGCTAGCTCGTGACGCATCAATGTTAGGAAAAATAATGATAGCGTGTATTATTATGCACAATATGATTGTTGAGGATGAAAGAGATACATATAAAACGTATTACGATCCAAATGAATATGATCAAGCTACAAATGCGTCTTCAAGTAATGAAAATAATGAAGAGCCTTTTCAGTTCCAAAATAGCAACAACCGAATTGCAAGTTTGGAAACTTACATGTCTAATAGAGCACGTGTTCGTGATGAAGCTATGCATAAAGCATTGAAGAAAGACTTAGTTGAACATATGTGGCTCAAATTCGGTGTTCAAAGTAGGGACAATAAAATGCATTAATAGATGTGTAATCGCAATATTATATCATTGTGTTTGTACTTGTTCGCGGTTCGTTATTATCTTTCAAAGACTTTTGTCATTTGATAGAATATATATGTATGATTTTTATTATTGTGGAATGTAGTAGGGTTACAATTATTGTTTGTGTCTTAATTAACGACTAATTACGTACTAATTAATATCAAAATTGCATTATTTTTAAATTTTTGAGATTTTATCTAATTAATGTATGCTAATAAATAATTATTAATTTTGAATGATTATTACCAAATGCATTATTTAATAATAATAGAATTTAAGTAATAAATTGTGTGGTGGGGTTGGGTAAAAGTAGGAGAGAGAAAATGTATAATCAAAATATTATGGTTAACTATTGGCATACATTGGTTATTAAATGGTTATAAGTGAGGTGGAAGATGGATAAAATAATAAAATAATCAATAACCAAGATGGGGTTGGGCAACCATTGTGTATGCTCTAAGAGCTTGGCCAAAGGGTTCTTTAGAGTAAAGGAGTATTCACTTTCTTCCTTCCGCCATTGTCAGTCCCCCATTCGGCCGAATTACATTCAATTTAATCGAGCAAATTCAACAACATTCATCAGGTTTGTCCGTTTTTTCTTGAAAATTTAGGGCCTTTTTTGTTGCTGAAATTCTATTTGCACTATTTTTGCAAATTTTCGGGGGTATTATTCATAAATTATACATGTTTTATTGTTAACTTCGCTAATTGAAGCTAAACCCATATCAATTACACATTTCATTTGATAAATTCAAACAATTTAATTGTTTTTTTGTTATTGAAAGATGGGTTTTGTTGGGTTAAGCTCTCTTAGGGAATAACATGATATGAACTAGGAAGAACATGATTTTTCTGGGTATTAGATTGTAACTCTATGTCTGAAATTTTAACTGTATCTGCTCGCCAATTTATTTTTATCATGTAATTATAAAGTTAGGTATTTTTTGCTATGTAATTGAAGGATATCAATTGAGATGTATGCAGTCAAGTATTGTACTAGTTTTAGTAGTTACGGAGTATAAATTTTGGATGGTATTGAGAAACAGAAGAAATAGTTTTGATTTCTTAAGGTTCGTTTGGCATCGCTGTGGTTTTCTGTTTTTTAAAAGTATATTATATATGTCACGTAATGAATCAAAAAATATTTAGACTGCTTAAAATCATGATAATTTTAAAAAACTGACAACAGAAAAGTGGAAATATCTTTTTCTTGTTTCCTGTTTTTGGTTTTTAGTTTTAAAAAAAACAGGAAACTGAAAACAAAAAATGATGTCAAACAAGCCCTTAATTTGTTGTTATTGTTTTTTTTTTTTTTTTATAAATAGGTTTCCTCAAGGTGGTTAATTCTTTGAAATCAGGGACTGTTATAGGCCAAATGAGGCTGAGGATCACCAATATAAATTTCTGATGCTGCTTGATTTATTTGGTCTTATATCGTCTAATTTATGTGGATCATTGAAAAAATTAAGTACATATAAGTATAATTGTTGTCACTCCGCATTTTAATTCGTTTCGAGAGTATATTTATAGAATTTAATAGAACCTTGCAGGCGAACTTGAATATATTTGACTTGCAAATGTTGAAAATAAAATCAAGAGCTGATAGATCAGCCTCCCTAGAAATTATGCTTTTCAAAATATATCTGGTTTCTTCTTTCCAGGAAGTTCAAAGTATATTGATGTTGTCTAGAGGATCTTTCAAGTTTTTGAAGCAAAACTACGATTTTTTAATTGTTGCTTGTGTGTTGAGGGTCATAATTTATCGGTGTTTTCTAAATTTCTGCCCTTCTTTGTGAAGGCTTAGTAAGGGTGGCTTTTGAATGTGGCTATAGTGCTATACTGCTGCTGTACATTTCTCATGGTGTGATTTGAGGATTCTGTGTGATGAGCAGTTTGCTTTTGTGTCAGCAAACTTTATAAAATTATTCATGTTTATGTCACTCTGTCGTTGCTTGTTGATTTAGCAGATTATCATGACTTTTATTTCATTTATTCAGGTTATCATGATTTGATATGATATGGGGAAATTTAAACTCGTTCTTTTAAGCTAACATTCTAGCCTATTGGTGTATTCTTGCTACTGCAGTTTGAAAAAGCCCGGTTTCTAGTTGCTGTCTTTTTTTTTTTTTCCGGAATGGAGATCGAGGCTGATGAAAAAGACAGGGGTCTCATTCTGCTGAAGCAAGGTGCTGAAGCGGTGAGTTTATATATTTACTTTACCAAGGATTAAAAAAAACATTTATTTAGTAGATAGATGGCCAGAAGTCCCATCTGATGCTCCAGTAGAGGTCTGAGCATCAGCTGTTTTATTCATTTGCTGTGGTAGAAACACTCCCATACTTAGTGGGGGGGGGGGAAGAGCTTACTACATGTCATACTGTCTCCTCCCTTCTCCCTAATCACTGCTTCCTTCTGTCAATATGTCGAACTTTGGTACATAAGTAATAAGACTGACTTTCTTTCATTTCCCAAAGAACTCCTAACAGAATGGTGTCAACTCATGTTTGCTTTGTGTTTTAATTTTATTCAAAAGTTTTTTTTTTTTTTTTTTTTTTTGACAATGTATTCAAAAGTTTTCAAAGACAACTAATTTGATCTTTTGTCCATGCTGCTTCAATTATATGTTTTATTTCTTTCATATTCAGAGAGTTTTTGAGTCAACCTTTGTTGGAAGAAGATCGATTGTAAAGGAGCGGTTTTCAAAGAAGTACAGGCATCCAACACTGGACTCAAAACTTACACTGAAGCGCTTGAATGCAGTAAGCTGTTTAACGGGCAGTCATTTAATTCCCAACTTTTCTCCTTTTGTCGTTGAGCTATTGTTTCCTAACCAATAAAATTTTGATTTTGACCAGGAAGCCCGGTGCATGACTAAAGCGAGAAAGTTAGGAGTTGCAACTCCAGTTCTATTTGCGGTGGACCCCACATTGCATACTTTAACATTTGAGTATGTTGATGGCCCTATGGTTAAGGAGCTATTTCTCGAGTTTGGTGCTAATGGAATTGATGAAGAACGTTTACAGGATATTGCAACACAGATAGGGAACTCTATTGCAAAACTACATGATGGTGGCCTTATACATGGAGACTTGACAACCTCAAATATGTTGATTCATAAGGATACCAATCAACTGGTGAGATTCTACTTTGATATTTGTTACTGTAGTTGGGAATGAAAAGAAAACTTTAAATTTGGAGTAGCAGTGAGGGGGGGGGGGGGGGGGATGCCCATCAGAGAAAGACCCCTTAGTGTTTTCTGTGATGTTTTTCAGGTGCTCATTGACTTTGGCCTAAGCTTCACATCTACTTTACCAGAAGACAAAGCAGTGGATTTATACGTACTTGAAAGGGCATTGATTTCTATGCACTCTTCTTGTGGAAATGTGGTAGGTTATATTGGATCCTCTTCATGTCGTATGATCATGCAGATAGTTCATTTGTTTATTTATTTATACTAAACCACAATCAACGGCTTTGATGGGAATATGTATGTAGGAATGCTGGGTTTTCCATTTTGTAATTTTTCTTTACTGTGCTGCAACAACTTATTACTCGACAATAGTGGTCCATCACAGTCACATTGGGGGCAAAGATAGGAATGTTAATTAAAATTATTTGGAGAAATTGTTCTGTTTCCATTGTGTTTAAAAACAAATATTCTTGTGTAGATGGAAAAAGTGCTTGCTGCATACAGGAAATCCTCAAAGCAGTGGTGCTCCACAACAAACAAGCTAGCTCAAGGTACTATATATCCTTTGTCTTCCTTCTCTTGATTTGCTGCTGCTCCTCTTTGTGTATCTGTGGTGTCTATGCTCACTTTTTTTTTTGTTTTGTTGTCGCAGTTAGACAAAGGGGTAGAAAACGCAGCATGGTTGGATGAGCTGCAGATAAATCTTCATAGAATTGATCATGTAATATCTTCATGGATTGTTTCTCTTATTTATTGTATCAAGCTTACTTGTAAACGTAAGCTTGTTCAGTATTTATACTCAATCCACGATTTTTTTTTTTAATGTTCCAATTTGTTAGGGTTAGTCTTGTAATGTTGGCAAACTCATTTTTGCATCGTATCAGATTATCAGTGAACCATTCAATGTCTTATAAGAAATTTTTTTTTTTTTTTTTTTTTGGAAAGATATAAGAAAACTCATCTTGTATAAGAAAATTGAACTATGCTTGTATCATTATTAAAAAACATTTTTTTCTGATTTACAAGTTACTAGTATTTTCACATAACTAAATACAAAAAGTTATTTCTAATTGTACATTTCAAAGAGAATGTAACAGGCAGATTCCTGTTTCTGAAAAGAGTTTGGTCTTAAATCATCTAACTATTAGCCAAAGGTATCATGCATAATATTATAATCCTATTGGCTACCAAATATGCAATTGCCTTTGATTAGATCTGTTCTAATTACATGAAGTACTTGTATTATTTTTGTTATTGACATCTTCCTTCCGAGTACTATGACAATAGAAGGGTAAAAACTAAAAATGGGTCAATTTTGGTGAATTGTGACTGATCTAAATGAGATTTGTTTTTTGATTTAGGCATTAGCTGAACATAATAACATATGGTCCTTTTGTATTTGCCCAAGTTGACACAGTTTGGAGGACGTTTTTCCAAAGTGAGCCAATTTTGGCAAATATTAACCAAAATGGTTGCGTGGCAAAAGTATTTACCAAACTAAGCTTCCAGGCTAAAACGCTGTCTCGGTCAGCGTTTTATGCCTGTGTGTTTTTTTTAAAAAAATCAACTTAAAAACGCTGTCTGGGACAGCATCTTTGTTGTTGACCTTTTTTTAAAAAAAATTTTTGTAATTGTCTTTTATTTATAAAAATGTTTTTAAAAAACAAAAACAGTTATACCAAAGACGCTGTCCCAGACAGCGTTTAACTCTGGAACTATAAACGCTGTCTCAGACAGCGTTTAAGGTTATTAATGAAACGTTGTCTGAGACAGCGTTTCTGTCGTTTTTTTTTTTTCCTGCACCAGCGTATTTCATCCTTTCATTTCCTCCTCCTTCATTCTCAAACCCCTTCTTTCCCAAACTCTAACTTAATCCCCCTCTCTCTCATACTTGTGCTCCTCCGTATAGACCGCCGCCGGCGCCGTCACCTCCACCGTCGCCCTCCGTGTAGCCCACTATACACTCCCCTCACCCTGAAATAGGTATTCATTCAACTTTCTTTGTGTTTTAAATTCTAGGGTTTATGTTGGTGATTTCTAATTTTTTTGGAATTGGGTTAAAATGTTGATGAGGTTGAGTTGTTAGTGTTAAAAATGTTGAATTGTTAGTGTTGGTATTGTTGAATTATTAGTGTTGGTAATTGTTGAATTGTTAGTGTTGATAATGGTAGTGTTGATATTGTTATTGTTGATAATAGTTTGGATAATGTTGAATTGTTGTTGTTGGTTTTGTTGAAAATTGTTGACAATGGTTGATAATTATTAGGTTTTGACCAATTGTAATTACCTACATTGTTGTGTAATAATGGTGATTTAGGGGTTCTTAGTAGTTAATTTGTATAGTATGTAAAATTTTTTTGTTTGGTTGTGGTGATTTAGGGATGATTTAACGGGTTTACGTAAAATGTGTTTTGGTTGTTATGTAGAATATGGCTGGACAAAATGTAGCGTTGTTGTGTCGATGGGGAGGTGAAATTTTGTGTAATGGATCAAATGTGGAGTACACTGGAGGGAATATGGACCTTATAACACTTGAACCGAACATGACTGTGACTGATCTGATGAATGAGGTTCACAGTTGTATTGGTTCAAACCCTATGACTGTTGAACTGAACCTTAAAATGAGGTGTGATACTGGTCATAGGGTGCAAGTGTTACCTGTCTCTACGAACAGACATTTGAAAGGTTTGAGGAGCATGGTAGGAATGAAGGGTTTTCCCAATGAGATATATGTAGAAACAGTGCCTATATGTACCCAACAAAGTACTCGGGCAGAACAGCAAGCTACATATGTCTCTGATTACAACACTGCGTCCTTCCAAGAGCCCGCAAACCACATTCCATCGAATGCATATGGGATGGGTTCTTTCACTCGAATGATGCAGGACGACCAATTTCACTTGCCTTTTAGTTCTCATATAGCTTCACCAGTACATGCGGGGGGACGCGTGACAGTGTTCGGCCAGCCTGCTCCGTCGTCATCGAACACCGTGTCATCTTCGCCGATGCAATTGCATAGCTACTCTTCTATGCAAGGTGATGATGGTTCACCGTTTCGAGAAGAGCCTAATCATTTTGATAATGTTGTGAATAATGAATTGTCGGTGTATGATGTGTATGCGGAAATGGATGATGAGGACGAGAACAGAGAGGGGGATGATGAACCTACACAGGTTGAAGATGGTCAGCCGTTGGTTAGAACTCCCATACCTTGGTTCAGTGAGGTACCCGAGAACTATGAAGTTGATCAGTATTGGGCCGAATCGGGTAGCCACACCTCTTTTGTTCCCGGGGGAGAATTTGAGAAGGGAATGTATTTTGAGAGCAAGAAACTGCTTCAAGAAATGGTGAAGATGTATTCTATTCAGAGGAATCAATTCTACACCACAGTGACCTCGAATGATGGTGTCCTACATCTGCGATGCAAGAAGAAATGTGGTTGGATGCTACGGGGTACCAAATCGAGTGAGCACTCACGTGGTTTTACCATAGTCACGCACAAAGGCCCGCATCGGGAGACATGTGTCAGTGAAGTACTATCTAATGATCACCCACACTTGGATTCGTCCGTAATAGCCGAGTATGTGAAGTCCTTTGTGCGGAAAGATCCTTCGTTGAAAGTGGAATTCATAAAGGAACTGATCTCGAAGCAATTTCATTTCGATGTCCCGTATCGACGAGCGTGGTATGCCAAGAAGAAAGCTATAGCTGAGATATTTGGGGATTGGGAGAGTTCATATGGCAGACTTCCCCACTTCATGCAAGCACTCCTACGGTCGAACCCGGGAACATGTGTCGTATGGAAACACAAAGCTTTAGTGGATGGTGTATACTACAGCAACATGGAAGTGTTTGAATGAGTGTTTTGGGCCTTCGGTCCTTGTATCGATGGCTTTAAACATTGTATGCCTGTTATCTGTATCGATGGGACGCACTTGTACGGGAAGTATAAAGGAACACTGTTGGTTGCTACGAGTGTTGATGCAAGCTTCCAAGTATTTCCTATTGCATTTGCGGTGGTTGAAGGGGAAAACACTTCCAGCTGGTCTTGGTTCCTAGGTTGTATTCGAGATCGTGTCACGCAACGGGATGGCCTTTATGTTATTTCTGATCGGCATCCTGGGATCATTGCAGCAATGAATGATCCCAATGTTGGATTCACCCAGCCCCGAGCGTATCACAGGTTTTGTGTCCGCCACATAGCCTCTAACTTGAAGACTCACGTGCGAAGTAACGACATGAGAGACATGTTCAAGGCCGCTGCGTACCAAAGGCAAGAAAGAAAACTTCAAGCTGATCTGTGTTTCATTGGTGAGGCCTGTCCCAAGGCCATTGAGTACATTGCTCAAGTCCCGTTCCCTATGTGGTCTCTGTTTCACGACAGTGGTCGCAGGTATGGTATATGTACTACTAACTTCTCGGAGACATTCAACAATGTGCTGAAAGGAGCTCGGTTTCTACCGATTATGTCCCTTGTCGAGTTAACCTTCCACAGAGTTAACAAGTATTTCACTTTGAGAAGGGAGTCTTCTGAGGCTAGGTCTGATCAGGGACTTCCATACCCCCCAAAGGTCACTGCCATCCTCGAGAAGAACACCGCTAAAGCCAGATATCATAGAGTGGATGCCTATAACCGGCGATTGCATATTTACCAAGTGACAACAGAGAGGGGAGAGAGAGTTGGTAATAAAGGAGGCCACAAGCATACGGTGAACTGCCAGTTGAGAACGTGTACGTGCAACAAACCGAAGATATTCCACCTCCCATGTTCTCATGTGCTAGCAGTCTCTGCTACATACTCACTATCAGAACGGCCTTGGGTGGACCCTCTGTTGCAGTCGGCCGCCTACATGAACACCTATGCACCACAGTTCTGGCTGATCCCCTGCGAGACAACCTGGGCACAGTGGGCACAGTACGTAGGCCCTAAACTCATTCCGGACGGCACAATGATACGTGGAAAAGGTCGTCCAAAGTCGAAGCGCATACGCAATGAGATGGATGACAGCAACCGGCCCCCAACTAAATGCAGCCGTTGTCACTAGCAAGGTCACAACCGCACTACTTGTCCATCTAGACCAACATAGGACCTGAGTGTATATGTGTTATTTGATATAGTAGTATGTAGTGGTGTTATTTTGATGAAACAGTTATAATTTTCTACATTATGTGTTATTGTGTTCAATTCGATGAATTCTATTTTGTACGTTGGATGTTCGAGATTTCTTGTTTATGCCTTTCAATCGAAATTAGTATTCAATATATTGTGTTAGTGTTTGGTGTGTAACGTTTTCAATGAACAGATATCATGGACGTACAGGATAGGACACCCGGACCTGTTGACCCTTCTGTCCTGACACTACAGGACACCCATCGGAGCGTCGACGTATGGAACCTGACGGTAATGATTCATCTTTAACGTTTTTGGATTCTTTGATGTACTATCTTTTGTTACTTATAAATGCTCCTGTGTTTTCAGGGTGACGTAGCGAAGCCACTACAGTGCAGGCACTACAGGACCCCCTGGGTTGTCCATGATCGCTGCCTTGAGTACGTGACGTACTCTGGCTTTGGCGGTGTACATCGCTTGGGATTCAGGGAGATCGACCGACACCTTGTCACGGCGTTAGTGGAGAGATGGAGGCAGGAGACGCACTCCTTCCACCTACCAGTTGGGGAGGCGACTGTGACATTGCGGGACGTGGCAATACTTACGCGCCTTCCAGTACAGGGGACTGCGGTGATGGGATCATTTCTAGTCGATCCCGTTGGATTGGTTGTGCGGGTTCTCGGGGTGCAGCCGGGTCCCAACGATGTTAGGGGCTCCGCCTTGAGGACGGTCTGGTTACGAGATACTTTCCAGGGCTTGCCTGCGGAGGCCGATGACGCCACAGTACAGAGATACGCTCGAGCGTAATTGTTCTTCCTCATATCCGGCGTGTTGTTCGGCAACAAGAGCGGGAGCCACTTGCAGCTTATTTACCTACAGCTGTTAGACCACGTCTGGGAGCATATCCGTGGATACAGCTGGGGTAGTGCCTCTTTGGCGGTGTTGTATTGCCAACTTTGCAGAGCCTCACGGAGTGGTGCGCTCGAGATTGGAGGACCTCTGTTTGTGCTTCAGGTATACTACGTATATTATCACAAGCGAATTATGCAATGAGTAATGTCATATTTAACATAGTTTTGTGTTTTGCTATTGAAGCTATGGGCTTGGGAGCACATCCACGTAGGAAGACCAGGTAGGCCTGCTGTACATCGTCCGGGGCAGCAGGACCAGGATGACCAGTATGAGCCGTACATCGCTCTGCCTCGCCCTGCAGCTGATGAGGCTTACGGTTGCAGGTTTGTAACAATTGTCATTTTTTTCCCATATACGATTTCATTTTGTAAACATACTTACCAAATTTGTTGCCCCAGGTGGATGGTCCCCAAACTCACACAGGCACATGCGGCGACGGGTCTCCCATACTACCGAGACGCCCTTGATCGACTCACTGAGGATCAGGTACAAACTCTGAAGACATTTGTAATCATTTAGGTACTGTGTATACTGATTGTGGACTAACTTATTTAGGATGTGTTATTGCAGATCACATGGGATCCGTATGTACCGGAGTTGGTAGATGTCATGCCTGCACATCTACTGGAGCATCAGGGAGAGTGGCGTGCCCAGGTCCCCCTGATCTGTTTCGAGGTTGTGGAGAGTCACCTACCTGACCGCGTCATGCGACAGTTCGGACTGCAGCAGCTTGTTCCCCAGAACTGTGACACTGTCGTGCGCCTTCACGACATTAACCGTCGGGGAAAGACGGAGACAAACTGGGCACTGGAGCATTGACAGTATCTTCAGCTATGGGAGCAGCGGTTGGGTCATGTCGTTCAGGGTTATCCCATGCAGGGCGTTATGGATCATGACGATCCGTACATGGTGTGGTACAGGCTTATCACACGCCGTTTCATCAACCCCAGCTACAAACCACCGTCCACCCATTACCACCCGGCACATGACGTCATTAGCGGATATGTAAGTTTCTTTTACTATACTTATCATCCTCATTTTTTAACTTTTTTAAATATCATGTACTTGACTGATCGATGATTACTACAGGCGGCGGATATGGTGGCGATGTATGATGCACTGTCCCTCGCCCTTACAGACGGACCCACTAGAGCCCAGGTCCAGCGGGTGCGAGATATGTCCGCGACTTCCTTACGCAGACATGGTCACGGTCATCTCATCCAACAGCGGGACGGTGATGATGGTCACTCCATCCATTCGCGGTTCGACCCCGGCCAGAGTAGCAGTGGAGGTGATCCTACGTCGCACACAGAGGCAGAGGAGTACATCTTCCACAGTTCTGCACCCTTCAGAACCCAGGAGGACGCATCGTCCAGCCAGCTCACTCCCCCCCCCGCGCCGGAACCTATTCACCACCATTCACCATTACACTCGGCGTCGTCCAAGACGAAGGGACGACAGTGAGGCTAGGGAAGGGTTACACCAAATTGATGAGTAGTGAACGTATTGTATCATTGTTTTGTCCTTTTTCCTGGAATGCTGTATATAACGATTGCATTATCAATATAAGACATGCTGGTTGAATGAATCTGTTTGTGTTTTGAAGTTTTGTTTGCTTATTTATCCAAATCGGATTTATGTCAGTCAAAATAGATCCTTCAGGGCTAATGTACATTAAACAACAGACATTTGGAATCCATAGTCGAAAATGGGGAAGAAAGGATGGCCCGTGGTGGTTAATGTGGTTGTTCATGGTGGTTTTAGTGTTGTTAGTTGTGGTGGGTGGTTATCGACGGTTGTTGTATGGTTGGGGTTGGTGGTGGAGCTGGTTGAAGTGTTGTTGGAGGTCAAAAGTGGTGGCAGATGGTGGTCGATGGTGGGGGTTGTTGGTGGATTGTGGTGGCAAGATCATGGCAGGGGGTGGTGGGTGGGGGCAGAAGAAAGTGGCAGATCAGTGGCAAAAGGCTGATTCTGCTGCTGTTTTGCACACCAGTAGAGAAACGCTGTCTCAGACAGCGTTTTAGGTTAAAAATAAGACGCTGTTTGAGACAGCGTTTTAGGTACAAGGAAGTTTGTACATAAAGCGCTGTCTGGGACAGCGCCTTTGGTATAACTGTTTTTGTTTTTTAAAAACATTTTTATAAATAAAAGACAATTACAAAAATTTAAAAAAAAAAGGTCAACAACAAAGACGCTGTCCCAGACAGCGTTTTTAGGTTGATTTTTTTTTTTAAAAAAAACCCAGGCATAAAACGCTGACCGAGACAGCGTTTTAGCCTGGAAGCTTAGTTTGGTAAATACTTTTGCCACGCAACCATTTTGGCTAATATTTGCCAAAATTGGCTCACTTTGTAAAAACGTCCCAGTTTAGACCTTTTGAAAATTGAGGTTCACTCTAACAAACTACTCGTAGGCTCGTAGCATGCAATTTAAAGGCTTCTATGCTTCTATGATATTGCAAGACAAGCACACTTCTTAGAGCGTCACCTAGTTTACATTTTCAAAACTTCAATAACTCTTTATCATAATTTCAAAACTTCAATCACCAATAACTAATTATCTCAAATAATTTCCTACGATCTCTCCTAAGGGCCAATAACTTCTCATATACGAGTACCTATCAATTTCATTTCTTATGTTATTTTTTTCCTAAAATATATATCAGGGCATTAGCACGGGTACATTCTAGTTTCAGATTTTAAAAATTGATGAAATGATTAATGAAACAATGAATCATAGGTTATATCAATATGACGCAAATAATGAGGCTAACAAACACAAGAATCCTTGATCATTTGAGTATTTGACTCACTTTTAAACTTCATTATTTTTAACCTAATTCCCAACCCCAAATCTGATTAGGTTTTTACTTGATCACATCCACCATAGCTTTCCCGCCAAAACCATTCTCTTCCTTGTGAAGTCACAAAAAACCCAGAAAAACCAACCAAATTCATTCAAATTCCCAGAATGTTAAATCATCCAAACAAGAAACCAGCAAACTATGAATCCTCAATCAACCCCAATTCGCTTCACAACATCAATGTCAAGCTCCTCGCTTTCGACCTCAACTCTTTAACCCAATCCCATTCTCTCTCCTCCTCTTCTTCCCGCGACCCGATTGTCTTCTACCGTAAAGGAATACCCATTTCTCGGGTCGAAGTATTCGGAGTTGTTGTGACCCGAGACCTCAAACCCGACAAATTTCTGAGGTTTTCCATTGATGATGGAACTGGGTGTGTTCAATGTATTCTTTGGTTGAATCAGATGACTTCTTCTTACTTTTCTCGGAGATGCCCATCAGATGTTCACTCAATTGCCCAAATGGCAAACATTCAGTCTAGTCGAGTTGAAATTGGTTTTGATGCTAGGGTTCGTGGCAGGGTTTCGGGTTTTCGGGGTTCGGTTCAGATTACGGTGGATGATGTTGTGGTGGAGAGAGATCCCAATTACCAGATTTTGCATTGGTTGGATTGTGTTAAATTGGCTCGGAAGCGCTATGATGTTCTGTCTTACAAGAAATGAGGGTAATTGTCTTTTAAGCTAAATTTTACTGATTTATTTTTAAAATTCTTTCTGAATATGAATATGATTGTAACATAATGTTCATAGTATGTGGTAAATTGTTGAATTTGTGATGTAGCAATTAGAATTTAGATCATTGTATGTCAAGAGCTAGAATTGGTTGTAGTGTTTATGAGAGTATTTGGAGCTAGAATTGGTTGTAGTGTTTATGAAAGTATTAGGAAGCTGGAATTGGTTGTAGTGTTTATGAAAGTATTAGAAGCTAGAATTGGTTGATCAAAAGCATAGGCTATATAAGTTATACTATATGAGTAGTACAACCCTACATTATTGTATTAGAATGTAAGTTTTTGAGTATATACAGGACATACAGTTATATAAATTCAGTAAATCACTTGCCAAATTTAATCTGGGGACAGGTTTGATTTAGAAATTAGCTTCATAAATTTAGCATAAAGGTTCTTAATTGATTAAATCTAGTGATTTCTAAAGTCTATTGCCTTAAAGGACTATTGTTTTATCCTTGGTGTATTCGTGCTGAACTGCTGTGCTATATGGGAATTCAAGGAGATATCCTAGCAAGTATTTTGTTGAATAGAGTGATTCAAGTGAACTATTACCAACACATGAGAATAAAAGTGAGAACTTGAAGCATACTAGCCAATGCAATGAATATGCATATGGATGATTTAATGGGACAACTTAAGAGTTAATTCTGTTTGATGCTTAGATGGGTCTTTCTGTTGAGGACAACTTGTACCATCAAAGATTTCCAAATCAAGTACGCAAGTTGGATATCCTTGCTAAGTTTTACAAGAATCATATACACGACCACATGTTTTCCAGATCAAATGCTTGTACTTAATTTATATTGGAAGGACTAAAAGGGCTATTACTGAGGAACACTACCCTGGAGGTACTGAAATTGAAGAGTCAAGGAACCTCAAGGCCACATAATGAGGGGTTGTAGATCTGCATTTGTGGTTTAAGAGTTGATTGGAACATTAAGATCTAATGCTAAGGGCATCTTCATGCTCATGAGCAATGTCTTAACAAGTTTGTATGTAAGTGCAACTAGTAACATGTTTTGGTGGTTTTATTTATTGCTCAAGGGTATTGTGTAGAGCCTTGAAAATCTCAGAATTTTTCTTATGGAGATTATGGAGGCACTTGGAAATGTATACGAGGTTTGAAAACATTATGACAAGGAAAACAAAATGAAGTTTGATTGGAGGCAAAAAAAAAAAAAAAAAAAAAACTCTTATACCCTAAAAAGGTTACAATTCTTGATGTCTATGTGAAACGAGCCAATAGTATGAAAATTTGAATTTATTTGATGGGGATTTATAAGTTTATAAGATACCAACAAAGCCTCCTTAATAAGTTTGGGGAAAGACCATAATTAGAACCTTAGAGCCTTAGAGGTCACTTAGTAAAAAAGTAAACACCCCTTAAACCCTGAAATCATATTCTTCATGGTGTAAAGGTGTTTATGCATGCATCAAAGAAAGTAACCTACACCAAGAGATGAGAGGGGCATAAAATGAATTATTTAGAAGAAGATCAAGGAAAGCTTTGGTTTTAGTAACCAAAGTACAAAAATTTATCTATAGGTACTAGCTAATACTATAAGTACAATTTTAGGAGACAAGAAAATATATATATATATATATTTTATTGTTAGTGGGCTTAACGCCTTAAATCATGTTTGTTTAAACATGTGAAGAGAAAGAAGGGGGCAAAAAGAGAAGGAAGGATGTTTGGAGGGAGAGGTAAGTGTGTTTCCATTTTTCTTTTAACGGGGTCAAGAAAGAATGATCAACTTCATAGGTTTGAGGTCAGATCCACATCATTCTAGACTGAACGGGATGACCAGGTTCTCGTATACTAGCTTAAAGCTAAGAAGCCGTCATAATTTTCCTCAAGAACTACGTGGGATTTTGTGTCCACACTACTAGGGCATGCACGCACATCACTTCCCTAAGTGCGGGGAAGGCCCCTAAGGTGCACTTGAGTTACCCACCTTTTAGATTTCGATATAGTGTAATAGCTCAAAACTTGTGAAATGTTATTATAAATTTATAACACCCCTTTTTTGTCCAAAAATCCAACATATGGTAAAAATCTTGAAAGTAGTTTTCCCAAAAATATATTGGAAAAATAGTGTTAAAAAAGGGGGGAAAAATAGGGGGGAATCCCAAAAATTAGGATACTTTTGGGAAAAATATGGTGATGGGTAATTGACACATTGAGTAATCCTAATGTTCCCAGCTTGTTTTGAACCAAAAATAGGATAAAAAAAATGTGGAAATAAAGAATTGAGGTAGCGATTGGAGTACCGTTTACATGTTTGTGTTTATAATTCTTTTTCGTAAAATATGGTATTTATTTATATAATTTATTTGATAAAATGGATATAAATTGGGGAATGTTGCAAAAATAAGTGTGATGATTTTCCGTCATTTATGAATATGATTGTTCTTGCCAACCATGAGATGATGTTCCTTTGGATACTTTTATAAAGATTTCACTATGAATAAATGTAAACAACCTTAATAAGCAATGGTAATTAGGTGTGTAACACCAATATAAACAATCAATGCATCAACAATGGTAATGGGTGGGTGTGGCTACAATACACTAATGAAGGATTTCTGACACCTTAATAGGACCCTAAGGGACCTAGTTGTTGATTGATGATATTTGTTGCAAGTTGCAACACTTAACACAAATTTCTCTTAAATAACCATATTATTGAACCAAAATTATTTTTGGGATTTTGTAGACCAATTTGTAGACCTATCATGCTTCCAAACCAACTTTTATAATCCTAAGTGACATCTTCTACATTCACTCCAATTTTGAAAAAAAAAATCGAAATTAGTCCAAAAACGTGAATTATAGCCTTCATTTTTGGACAATTCTTGACCTTTTTAAGTCCGGAAAGGAATGAAGATGATGTGCTTTCCATGGACCCCATGTGACCTTGAGAGACCATTTGGGTGGTTAGAACCACTTTATCTGTTAACTATCATGTTAACTATCATTTTAACCAGTTGCTTGCACACCTTTTTTCAATAACTTAAAACCACTACAAGTCTTTATGTGACCAACTATTAGTTGTATATGCTTCCAAACAATATTATAGGTTCTTGGGATGCATCCTAACCATTACTTGAATATTTGACGTCGGGTCTCGAAATCGTCCGAGTGATAGCCTTTAAATTTAGCTTCCATAGAAAATTGTCAGTCTCGTCAAGGTTAGGCATCGTGGTGCTTTATGAGGTTCTCAAAGGGCCTTGGGAGGCCAACTTGGTGCCCAAAACCAGCCATTATAAGCCTTGCCCACCACTTGTACTAATGTCTTAAGATGTCTTGCCTTGAATTTGCCTTGCGTTGCCTTTAGCCTTAGCTTAGCCCTAAGGTAATTAGGCAAGCCAAGACACTACCCTCTATTGCCTTGCATAGGTATTTTTTTTTAAGGATGAGGTGTTTTTATAATTTATCCTTGTGCTCATGCCCCATGCCTAGGCTAGAGACTATTTTGGCTGGGGAGCAGCAGCGGCGCCCATGCCTTGGCTGGGTGATGACAGTAGCATTAGCACCCCAAGGGTCTAGACATGTGGTCATGGGCAATGGCAGCGGCCTCATTTCCCAAGGCCTTATGCCTTGGCCCTCACACTTAGTATATTTCAATCCTACAATAGTCATAGAACTTTGTTTATATAGGGGGAAGATGGATCCTGTTTAGGGTAATTTTACCCCGCCATGTGGTCCAATCAGAGGATGACACGTGTCATCCTCAGGATGGCCCAAAGTGGACCAATCCCTGCTTGACGCCAGAAATTAAGGGGAAAAGGCGGCCTTCAGGCCCAAATCCCGAGAAAGCCGCAAAGCGGCGCAGCCCACCAATGATTAGGGTTCAGTGACCTAATCAGGGGCACAAATCCCAAAAACCCTATAAATAGGGAGATGTCCCTCTTTTTGAGGGCACGTTTTACCATTTATTACACATTTACTCTTTGATAGAGACATCCTGAGCTTGGAATCCGAGCAGAACCCCACCTAAATTTCCGCACCTTTTTCTCCCTTCAAGTTTCTAACTTGTGCGTCGGAGGCGGAGCACCACCCAACCGGTGTCTCCGTTTGTTTTGCAGGTACAGCTCACTCTGGATCAGTCTTCGTGTTGTAACTCTCTCGAGGGACAAAAACACTCAAAACATTTGGCGCCGTCTGTGGGGAGAGTACCTCGAAGATGGTTCAAGAGTCTATACCACCCCCTAACCGTCTGGGCGAAGACCCAGAAGTCTTTACAGACCATGAGGATGAGGATCCTCAAGTCGAAACCTTTACAGCCGAAGACGGCTCTCTCAGAATCAAGCGCATCCGGCCCAGAGAGACTCTGGAGCGGGGTGCCTCCCAGGCGGGTCCAAGCCGACCCTCTAGACAGCCGGAAGGGGAAACCCAAACGGCCGCTGGATCAGCCCTTGTCACCCGAGACGAACTCATGAGATTCATGACAAGTTTCAAGGGTGAAATTAAAGTGCTGATCACCCAAAGCCGGGCTGGCCCAAGTAAAGGTCAGTCGGCGAAGAAGACTCCTCTAGAGAAGGGGAAGTCAGTCAGAAACCGGGAGCCCACTCCTCATCCAGAGGAGAAGGCAGCCGGGACCATTGATTGGTAAAAAATTCTCCTTCCTAAAAGGAACAACACCTTCCGGACTCAGCAGCCGGTGGGAAGCAAAAAATCAACTCTTGATGCCTGGGAGATCATAAACCGGAAGAGAAACCAATCGCTGTCTGAGTCGGTTTCAACGTCGAACTTTCCAGACAGCTTCAACAACATTTCTGCAGGGAGCGCACCCTCCTTGCATGAAAGCCAGACATGCGGTAATACCGTCCATTCTGGCCCTCACATGATTAGAGCTGTACCGTACGTGCCTACTCAGGCTTATGGACAGTATCCCCCTCACTTCATGCAGCCGACCCTCTTTGGAGGTCAG